GTAATAACGGTCAATCTGGAGGAGGAGGAGGAGAGAGAGAGAGAGGGGGGAGAGAGAGAGGGGGGAGAGAGAAAGAGAGAGAAAGAGAGAGATAGAGAGAGCAGGAGAAGGAGGAGGGGAGGAGAGGGATGAGGAGTAAAAAAGGGGGAAAGTGAGGATCAGGAGGAGGAAGATGATTATGATCAGGAGGAGGAAGAGGATTAAGCGGGGGGATAGGACGAGGAAGAGGAGTATGTATAGGACGAGGAAGAGGAGTATGTGAAGCATGCGGCGGAGGAGGAAGGGGAGGAGGGGAGGAGGAGGCATTTACTGAAGAGGTGAGGAGGAGGATTATGCGGATTATGCGGAGTATGAGGAAGAGGATGAGGAGGAAGATGAGGAAGAGCGGAGAGGGAGAGGAGGAGAAGGAGGTGGAGGAGGTGGAGGAGGAGGAGGAGGAAGAGGTGGAGGAGGAGCTGGAAGATTGCTGCACTGGTGAATAGGAATGGCATATTTAGCAATTGTTCCTGTATTTTTGTTGTGCTGCGTATTTAGTAACGATGTTGTAACCCCTTAGCCTACTAATTTCATGAATGTCTTGATGTGTAACTGTAACCATTCCCATGGGGATTTGAAACAAAGTAATATCCTGCCAGAAATAGTTTTGGTTTGTATGGCTTCGTTTTTGTTTTTGCTTGTTTGTTTGTTTGCTTGCTTGTCTGTTAGTTTTAGTTAGTTTTAGTAAGGTTTTACGGCGCTTGCAACTGTTAAAGGTCATATGAGCCCCATGTCTGTTTGTTTATTTGTTTGTTTGTTTGTTTGTTTCATTTGTGCTATTTTAGAGAAAGGGGGGGGGGGGGGCAGCCTAAGAGACTTTCGAAAAAAATCTTGAAGCTGAACCAAAGCTTACTAAGCACAAAGATCAAACGAACAGACAGCTGTATCTCACCAGCTTGACTTGTATGGTGACGGTATAAGAGAACCTTCTCCTCCTCCCCGAGTTCGTGACGGTGTCGCCCCCTACGATAAAGTTGCTGGAGTCTCCGCTTCCTCCCTCTATCCCACTGTCGTCGTCATCATCACCCCCCTCATCATCAACCCCCATCTGGTCAAATGAGGGCATGTTTTGCATACCGTTCATCTCATAAGAGGAAGATTCTGATCCTTTCACTGGCTCCATTGTTGATCCAATTGGAGCCATTGCCAACGGATCTGATCCCTCTGCGAAGATGATACTTCTACACAGGATCCCTGACAAAACAAGAATTGAAGTCATTAATTAATGTGTCGCCATGGGTGGAATCAGGCCTGGCGTTCGTCAAGTTTTGAGCTAATGGGGTTATTGGTATCATCTTAAAGCCTATTCATTTGTCTTGGGTTTTTTGGGGTTTTTTAAAAGGAAAAACTTCCCATATATCTTGAAAAAAGTCGAGATACTTGCAATCTAAATGAGCGAGAGTCGTCCGCTGTCAGAGATAAAATTATCGAGAAAATGGCCGTCAACGTTTGGTGACTTCCAAGGCAGTAGTCTCCAAGAGAACTGCAACTTTATATTTTTTGTGACTTTGATCAATGTTCCTCAGTAAAATACGCACAGAAATGTGTTTTTAAACGGACGTAAAGGTGTTGACCCCTCCACCCCGAAAAAAGCATAACAATTCCCCAACGAGCATGAAAATGTCGCTGTCCTGGATTTCATTATTTTGATGAGCGCTTGATTTCACAAACACTAACAGAAAGAGGCTAAATAATTTAACAAAGTCACCAATATGTTGTTTTTAGTCTTAACACAAGAGCTTTACGTTCAAGGTTTCAAACAGAAACTTTACTGTGATCAACACGCACGCAAGCACACACACATGCACACACAAACACACACACACACACAAACACACACATATACATATACACACAAACTCACGAGCACACTCCACCTACACTCACACACACCCACACACACACACACACACACACACACACACACACACACACACACATACACACACTCACATACACACACACACACACACACACACACACACACACACACACTCACACACACACACACTCACAAACCCAGGTACTCCCTCATTAATTTACTGACAACTGAATCAAATAAATAAACTAGTAAAGCTGCACTTGAATATCACAAATCGCAAACGAATTGCCTAATTCGTGGAAAAGCTGCACTGTCCAACCTATGTTCCCAACACAAACAAAGAAACATGATGAGGAACACTTGTTTTCTTTGTACTTATTACAACCACAATCTGTTGGCACAAACTGACATAGTTACAGACTTACGTTATCAGTAACGGACATTGTTAATCTATGTTGAAAAAATGACAGAAATAACCACAATAACAACACCAACAAAGACAGTAACAGAGACACTAACAAATGCAACAATTAGATTAACAAGAGTAAAAATAACGTTTCAACAACAACAACAACAACAACGACAATAACAGCAGCTGCAACGGCAGCAGCAGCAGTAACAGCAGGTACAACAACAACAACAACAACAACAACAACAACAACAACAACAACAACAACAACAACAACAACAACAACAGCAGCAACGAAGGCAGCAATTACAACATCACTGATAACAACCTGAGGCAACATCAGAAAAGCAGTTTTATACTTTTAACCATGACAAACCGACTGCTAAGTGTAAGTCTGTGCCATACGCCATTTTAAAACGTGACGTATGACTTGACAGTCTTACACTGAGCAGTCAGTTGACAATCACAATCAACAAAACCTAAGTTAGCATCAGCGAAAGTAAATAATTATAAGCTCTGCTTCTAAAAGTACCATCATAACTAGCACAGAACAAGGTTTAAAATAACGAAACGTAAGGCTGAACAGGAAGCCGGTATCGGTCAAACGTCAATACACAAAGACCATAATGATAATATATTTCGTAAAAGTATCAAATAAAGGTGTGACTTACAAAGTAGCAAGACGATTGCGGGCACAAACCTGTGAGTAGTCATGTCTGTAGATCAATGGGCAGCCTCTGCTTCTCGTAAACTTCACTTACTGACATCAAAATGAAGAGACAGACAGGTGGGAACAGGCTGTAGCCACGTACTAAAGCAAAACAAGGACAATCAGAACATAGCGTTATGTACGTGGTGAACTTGTCTGATTAGAGGGCTCAACATTAGAGCGTCGAGCAAAAGCAATGTGTGACAGAATGGTGAAATCAAGCTCTCGTCAGGTTTTTGGGGATATGGTGTTATTAATTGGTATGCGCAAAAAGCATGATTATTTATTTTGATTTTGATTTTAAAAAATACCTATCTAATTCAAATGAAGGTCGAGATATTTGCGATTGGAGGATGTGGAGATCCCCTGTGTGCAGATGTAAAATTAATGAGAAAATAGTTTGGTGATGTCCAAAACGTGGGTGTCCTTGGAAGCTGTAAATTTACTTTTTTTTTGCCTCTGGGCAATATCTATCTATGAAATCCACACAGAAATGGGTTTTGAATTGGAATAAAAGTTGTAGAGCCTAAAATAGATTTTTAACAACGATAGCAACTCCTCGACGGTTTCTTTGATTTTTATTATTTTGACGAGCGCCTGATTTCATGACGATGCCACACAAATTATATCAAGTACACCAGTACGTATTAAACAGGACCACCAAGAGTAAACGTTGAACCTTAATGCTGATCACCCCCGCCAAAAAAAACAACAACAAAAAACAAAAAACAACCCCTGTTTGACTCTTACGACTGTTCATTCGCTATTTTCCCTGTGTTTTACATCTCCTCAACACAATTCCGATAATTTAGGAGGCGCGTTTTGCCCCCACCTGTCAGGGCCAACGCAGGCTGAGAGGAATACAATGTACCAGTAGATAGACAGAGAATCTCGATAATAATTATCCCTACTTGGGAATTGAACTGATGTCTTTTGCATGCGACGGCGAGGTGCCCAACTTCAGCACCATTATTATTATAATTATTATCATTATTACTACTATTTTACAATCCTTTATTGAAACACATACAATAGGTAAAAAATCTTAACCTTGGATATGATTCATATTCTTTTAAAACGAAAAAAGATGTGCAGTGCTCAACTCACATCCGGAGTCATTTTAATACACCTAACGCAGTACCAAGTGGGCATTGAGCATCTTATACGACATGACCTGGAAGAGAAAGAAGAAAGAAGCTTGCCTTTGCGATTGGGTCAGACAATTCGGAATTAATGACACTTATTTTGAATAATATCGTGGCTACTATCGTATTACATGGTTTAGGTAAAAAAGGACAAGAGGACCTCCACTCAAAGAAAGAACCAGAAAACGATAAAGAATTTAGAAAGCGGAAACTGACAAATAATATTGCAAGATGCTGCGGCCTGTCATCTCGATCGGAGACAGATATTGCGAAAGTCTTTCTTGATTGACTGATGGTGAATAATTAACGCCCCCCCCCCCCCCAATCGATGCACTTTAGTTTATATTCAGGAGGCGGACTACTTCGACCCCGCCGGTCAGGGTAAACCCGGGCTTTGTGGGATACAGTGTCTCAGCTCGTAGACGCTGGATATTACACTGATTTCCCCACTTAAGAGGTTGGGGGGGGAGGGGGGGGGGGTACAGCTGAAGGCTATCTGTTGTTGTTGTTGTTGTTGTTGTTGTTGTTGTTGTTATCGATCCAGCAACAGCTGGGCTCTTGCATTTCTGTCCATTGCCATGTAATGATAAGTGCAAGTTTGCTGCAGTTGCTGTAAATGTTCCATAAAGTGTGTTGTCAATGTTAGGTCTCGGAAGGAGAAGAGTAGCTCTGTGGAACAGGTGATGATCCACAGTCACATATGCATAGTCACACAAGGGACACATTGGGGGAAGTTCCGGGTTTATTCTCTTCTGGTGGAATTTAAGCTGTATGTTCTGTTCGTACGTGGAAGATCGTGGGTCTGTTTCTTTCTCTGTATGTGGTTGATATTGTCATTCCTTTTTGTTGTGGTCATATGTTTGTAAACTGCTCTACCTGTCTTTCCCAGGGCCCATCTGTTCATCCAATCTTGTTTGTTGTTGCTTTTATGATTTGTTTTGCAGTGTTGTATGAAGTTGGAATGTTGGGTTGTTCCTGTCTAGATATCCCCCTTTGGCAAGTATGTCTGCTCTGTCATTTCCAGGTATGTTTGAGTGTCCATGGACCCACTGCATTACTAGGTTGATGCCACAGAATGTTATCAGATGATGAGAGCCAAACAGTATATGAGTCAAATCTTGGTTTAGATGATGGTTATTTTCTATGGCTTGTAAAACTGATAGTGAGTCAGTGAAAATCACAATACTCTGTGCTTTTCCAGGATGAGTGTAAAAAACTGTTCGGAGATGGTACAGTGCTGTTTCAATTGCCATCGTTTCTGCATTGTAGTTGCTGCATTTCTCTCCACATGCTGCAGAGATTTCACTGGAACTTCCATGTGGGTACTGTATAAGTATTCCATATACGGCTTTGGTTGTGCCTTTGAACGCAGAGCCGTTCGTATAGACGTGTATCCAGGCATCTGAATAGCTGTCGATTGTTTGATGTGATGCAAGCATCAGCGTCACTGGGTCTGAAGTCTGAATATATATTGTGCTATTGTCTCTGAGAGATGTTGTAATGATTGGCTTTTTAAAAGAAAGGTGGGGTAGTGGGGCCGCTTAGCAAACCTATTGTGCATTTTGTGATACAAGCACCAAACTTGGCACAAATGTACATTAACATATTGAAATCATTTTCAGATATTGGGCCACTCGGATTTCTCTCTTAATGGCCGCCATATTGGATTTCAATATGGCCGCTATTTGAAATCTACATTTGCGATTATCTCTGGGTCAAATGCTGCTATTGACTTCATTTTGGTGTCTAAATATATGTTCTCGTGGTCAAGAAATCCAATGGTAGCAATCTGCATTGCCTATTTTTACTAAAGGGCCGCCATATTGGATTTCAAAATGGCCGCCATTTGAAATCTACATTAGTAATTATCTCTGGGTCTAATGCTGCTATTGACTTCATTTTGGTGTCTAAATGTATGTTTTTTGGGTCAAGCAAGCCAATGGTAACAATCTGCATTACGTATTTGTACTAATGGGTCGCCATATTGGATTTCAAAATGGCTGCTTTACATTACATGGCAGCTTCTCGATCTACATTCGTCGTTATCTTGTTGCCGTCACATGTTTGGAGAAGCCAAACCCTTCACAGGATTCCCGAGAAGAATCTGTTGCAACCGTTGCTGCTTGCCTTAGTCAGCATTATCCTAAAGAGACGCAGCATCAAGGACCAGATGGCAGACACTAACCATGCAGCAATTACCGCAGCCTAGATACTGAAGTTCAACTGCGTAAAACACAAGCGAACACGTGGCACCACATCATCCACCTGTGTGAGGCTTAGTGTTGCACAGGAGACCCCATTTCCAACATACATTGGGATGATGTTGCATGCTCATACACACAAGTAGGAACTGGTCGA